ATAAAACCTAAAAAAAATATTGTGCCCTAAACCTCACCTAAGCCCTAATCTCTATGTCAAAAAAGCAACTGTAAGTCCGAAATATAAGAACCCAAATATTAAACACTAAACAATAGATTTTAAATATCAAATCCTTAGCCTCAAGCCCTAACCCTAACCTATAACCCTAACCTAAACGATAACCACAAAACCCTAAGCCCAAAATACCAAAATGCAAATATTAAATAATAAACTATAAATTTTATACATTTAATGCTAAACCGTGAACCATGAAACCTAAAAAAAACTTACACCCCGTTCCTAATTTTAACCCTTAACCCTAAAAGCCCTAAGTCCAAAATACGTAAACCTAAATATTAAATACTGAACCATTAATTTTAAAACTCAAACCCTAAAACCTAAAAAAACTAAACCCTAAACCTAACCATAACAATAACCCTAACTCAAAACCATTAACCCCAAAAAGCCATGCAAAAAATAGAAAAAACCAAAGATTAAAAACTAAATCGTGGATTTATATAAAAAATACTAAACCCCAAAACCTAAAACCTAAAAAGAAATAAACCTTAACCCTAATCCTATCCTTAACATAAACACTAACCCTAACCCTATCCTTAATCCTAACCGTTAACACTAATCCCTAATCCCTAAGCCCAAAATACCATCAGAGCAACAAAGGGAAGAGGAATGGAAAACACAAAGAAGAAAAAATAGCAAACCACAAGAAGAAAAGGCTACCAAAACTGCCTGGAAACCAACTTAGGCACAGAGCAGACAAACTAGTGAACAACAACATAATAAATCTCAACAAACATGGAATATTACTAATGTTCATCATAATTCTTTCACTAACTTGAATTTGCAGGAAAAAAGTGAAGCAGGCAAAGAGGATCATGCAGGCAAAAACAAGGCAGCTCTACAGGAAAACACAAAGGGTCATACAAATACTAAAAGGCCATCTGATAACACCCGCATAGTCAAGGGTGCAGTATCATAGCTATGCAACCCAACTCCTCTATACAAATTGTTAATGTATTGAATGTGAATGGTGATGATAAAGGAGGAACGAATGGGGGATGTCCGTATAAACTCTCTAACTACCATGAAGGGGTAACCAAAGGGGGAGTTTTCCTCATGTTTTGCATGAGGACCTTCGTCCAAACTGTAAGGCCACTGATAACTCTAATAGAAAGCAACAACCAGTGAAAGAGCAATTGGTTCAACAACAGGCTCAGACAGAAAATAATAGACAACAAAATTATGGAAAATATAAAGAAAAATAGCAAAAAGAAGGAGATAAGTCTAATAAGAATGATAAATATCACATGATAAAGAATAAGAGGAACAGGAAAGATAACTATAACTTCGAAAGCACTCCCTAGAGGAAAAACAAACCTAGCAAACAAAAGAGGGATGCAACTAAAAAGAGACATAGTAAGCAGCAAGAAGGTAACACTGAGAATGAGCAAGAAAAGAGGGAGGAACCATGCAAAAAATTATTATGGTTAACGATAATCAGAGATTACATATTCTGAAATTTGTCTTAATAGAAACCCCTTGGACATAATAAATGATTTTGTGCTACATGTTGGATCTCTTCCTCTAAGGTCTGATCATTATGAGAACTAAAGGCCTTAAAAAGGGCCTCAATAGTCTCATCAACCTCTTATAAGAAGTGATTATCCCCATCTATTTCATCCCTAGAATTATCCACAACATATTCATCAAAATTAGGCACTGTATTCATCTTACATATTTGCTATCTCTTATCTGGTGGTTTAAAAGGAGGAGGAGTCATATGTTGATCCTGAAGAGGGAGGATATCCAATCCATGATTATCATCAGTCATACCAAATTTGTTGCATGATTCCTCCCTCTTTTTCTGTTTTTGATCATTGTCATCGGTCTGAAGCTTATTTTTGTCTCCTTTTAGCAGCATCCCTTTTTTGTTTGCTTGACTTGTTTTTGCTCTTAGGAGAGCTTTCCAGAGTTCAAGAAGCAGCCTATTTTTCCCTTTATCTTTCTTTTCCTCTTTCTTTGTTTGCTGTTTTTTTTATTATTTGCAGAATATTGTTTGACATGCTATTTCTCTCCTTGTTGCTGCATGTTCTTAGAAATTTCAGACGCTCTAAAGTCAGACCTAAGGTCAACAAACCCCTTAATCAGAACATGAGGCAAACTCCCCCTATGGTAAACCCATCCTGCAGGTTCAAGGTTTTCTCCTGACACCCTCCATCCATGCCTCCAACAACTTTTTCAGTAAAAACGTCATCAACATTAATAAAATTCGGGGAATTGGATCTTGGGAGCATTGAGTCAATACATGTGTTTTTATTTTTTTGGCTGTATCAGCTTGTTGGTTTTGTAAGTTATGAGTGATGAGGTTGTTCCTTATAGTTGGGTCCTTAGCACTCCTATTTTTTTGGCTTGTCTGCCTGATAAGCAGCTTGCCTAGTGGTTCCTTCTCCTATTTTGTTTCTCTCTTGTTGTTCCTGCATTTCAAGGTTAGAAAAAATATTTTTAGCTTGAAATTTTGTTATACCTGTTGTATCCTGCTCCTGTTGGTGGTTGTTATGCTTCCTTCCTTTGGAGGTGTGAGAGGTCTCAAAACTGCCTTTGAGGTAGTTTTATCATGACTTATTTGTTACCTCTTTTTCTATGTATGCCACTATTTCTCTCGAATGTCCTCTTGGTGATCTTGGTCTTTTCAATTAGGAATATTGATTCTTTGTTGTTTGTTTACCTGCTGATTATTTGATTAACTTGTGTAGCAGCCTGTTTGTTATTCGACAAGCTTTCATGGATTCCAACGTCTTGACTTCTCTTTTCGCTGAAGTTATCCTCACCAACAATTCTTCCATCCCTTTCGCCTGAAAATCCAGTAAGATGGGCGCCATCACTTGGGAAACAAGTGACGCACTCGCAGATTCTTCAATAGTAACCTCTCGATTTTGACTGATTAAGATGGTAGAATCAGCTGATTTTTGGATATACGATGGATCTTGATGCGGAGTATTCATCGCCATCATCCTTTCTTCTCGATTCCCCCCAGAAAATCCTTACGAAAATATTTTCTCATTCTGCATCAAACTCCCCTTCCAGTGCAGTGTTCATCGCAACATTGAACTGCAATTTCGAAGAGTTCAGAGGTTGATCTTTGAGCGTGTTACCCTGGGATTTGTTTCCCTTGTCAAAAAGTTCTGGATGGCTTTGGTCCGGCGGTGTTTGACTGTTCGCTAGCCGTTGTACACAGAGGAGAGAGCGTCTGTTAGAGAGAGAAAATTCCAGGTTGTGTTTTTTCTATTATTGGATTAGGGGTTGGGGTTTATGGTTTAGGGTTAAGGTTTGGGTTAGGGTTAGGTTTATTGTTTGGGTTAGGGTTAGGGTTAAGGTTAGGTTTTTGGGTTTTCTCATGTTTATTGGTTTAGGTTTTAGGATTTTAGACTTAATATCAATGGTTTAGTGTTTAATGTTTTGATTTTGGTGTTTTGGACTTGTGGTTTTGGGTTTACGGTAGGGTTAGGGTTAGGGGTTGTGTTAGGATTAAGGATTTAATTTGTGATATCTATAGTTTACTATTTAATGTTAGGGTTTTGGTATTTTGGGATTTGTATTAAGGTTTAGAGTTTAGGGTTAAGGTTAAGGATTGGGTTAGCGTTAAGGTTTGTGTTAGGGATATGGTTAGGGCTAGGTTGCGGGTTTTTTTAGTTTTTTTTTGGTTTTAGGATTTTTTTGTTTAAAATCTATGGTTTTGTATTTAATGTTTGGGTTTTTGTATTTTGGGCTTAGGCTTTAAGGTTAATGGCTTAGGGCTAGGGTGAAGGTTATGGTTAGGGTTAGAGTTAGGGTTTTTCATTTTTTATAGGTTTTAGCGTTTGTGGTTTAGGATGTGAGGTTTAAAATCTATGGTCTAGTGTTTAATGTCTTTGTTTTTGTATTTTGGACGTAAAATTTTAATTTGAACTTAGGGTTTAGCGTTTAAGGTTTAGAAATAGGGTATGGGTTATGCTTTGGATATGGGTTAGCATGTAGGGTTTTTTTTAGGTTATATGGATCATGACTAGAATATGAGGTTTAAATTTGTGTGGTTTAATATTTAATGTTTTGGTTTTGGTTTTTTTAACTTAGGGTTTAGGGATCACAGTTAGGGCTTAACATTTTTTATGTTTCTGGGTTTGGGGTTTAGGATTTGAGGTTTAATATCAACCGTTTAATGTTTAATGTTTGGGTTTTATGTTTAGGGTTAATAGTTTAAGGTTAATGTTAAGGATTGGGTAGGTTTAGGGATAGAGTTAGGACTAGGTTTTGGGGGTTTTTTTTAGATTTTTTATTTTGGGGTTTAGGGTTTTTGTTTAAGATCTATAATTTAGTATTTAATGTTTGGATTTTTGTATTTTGGGCTTATTTTTTAAAAGTAAACGACCCTTGTGGTGGGTCAGGGGCTTAGCAACATCCCCAGGCCTTATAATTAAAAAGTCAAAAATTACAAGAAGGGGGACATAAACCTTAACTTCTATCATTTGATAGGTATAGAATTGACTTACCTACTAAGATTAGTCAATTCAACCTTTATACAATAAGATGCACTCTATGAAATTAGATACCTAAAAGAGGACTCCTCTTTTTAATACAATTATCTAGAATGCTTGAATTAGGGAGACTCTCCCTTTACATGAACAAATATAAAAAAGATAAAACCTATCATATTTATTATAACATAGACAATGAATAGGTTTAAGTAACATTTGAATGAATATATAAGTCTTTGCTTTCTTGTTAAATACTTAGGTGGATGCTTGATTCTCTTTGTTTTTCTTCTTCTGAAATTTTGTATTTCCATCTTGTCCAATATGTAGCTTCCTCTAATCGATCCAAATAGTTGTTGAGTTATATAGAAGTGTTGTAGTATATACAAATTATGACTCCACTTTGCTAACAAATCTGCAGTGCCATTGGCTTCTCGATAGACATGTTTACATTGAAAGTAATCCAATTTTCTGCTAATGTCTTGAATTTGTTGGATTGTCTTTTGATATCTCCAAGGTATTGCTACTGTATTGCTTATCCATTTGCACAACATTTCTGAGTCTACTTCCAAATTCAATGCTTCTATAACCATGTGGTTCATACCAATCCAATCCATATAATGCAGCCTTTATCTCTGTAATATTGTTAGTGCCTAGACCAAATGGTAAGGAAAATGCATTAATTAAGTTACCTTGATGATCCCTTACTATGCCTCCTCCTCCAATCTTCCCAGATTCTTGTAGTGCACTCCCATATGTATTTAGCTTGTAAGTGCCTTCATTTGGTTTTCTCCAAGTTACCATGGTTACTCTTAGCTGCTGTTGGCATTGATCCACCACATTGATCTAACTGTCCCAGCTATGTTTCCATGGTATATTTGGAAAAACTATTTTTATAAGCTGCATGGTGTCTTTAAAATTCCATACTGTACTCTTTGATTACTTCATTTTTTTTCTCCAATTTTCATAGCACACCTGTTTTTCCACAAATTCCAGCAAATAAAGTTAGGTAAAATATAAATAAGAAGTTTATATACATTATTTTGAAAAGGCAGATTCCTCCAATCTAGCAGCAGGCTTGTCAAATCTGTATTTGATTGTATTGCACCAAATTTAGCTGCATAATATTTCCAAATATATTTAGCAAAATTGCCAGTGAGTAATATATGCTTGACGTCATCTTCGCCTTTCCTATGGCAACAATAACATTCTGCCTCATCTTTTTTGAATTTCTGCAGGTTATCATTTGTTGGTAGCTTGCCCCTCAAAGCTCTCCAAATAAAGAAGGCTATTTTGAAAGGAATATGCTTCTGCCAAATAGTATTATTAATGGGATCTTTAGATCTTTTCTTTCTAATAACTTCTCATGCAGATGAAATAGTGAATTTTCCATTTTCCTCAGGTGTCCAAATAGCAGTATCATCTATATCAATATTATACTTAAAGTGTGTTTACAGAATATCAGGCACCAGCAGAGGAGGAACATTTTGTCTAACATATCACTCTTTCAAAATACCATCATTTATGAAATCAGACACTAGACTATTATTAAGGCTAGAAATGTTAATGCATTTGATTGGCTAGTGCACCATTCCCTAGCAAATTATCCCACCAGAAGCTGCAAGTTCCAGAATGAATATTCCATTTAATATGAGATTCCACAGCCTGTCTATTTCTAGTGAGGTATCTCCAAACTAAAGAATCTCCTGAATCTTATTTCTTGGCCACAGGATTAGCTCTTTGGCAGTATTTGGCTTTAAGAAATTTACTCCATAATGAAGTCTTAGTTCTTAATTCCCACCATTACTTATATTGAAATGCTATACAAACATCATCCAGCAGCCTTACTCCAATACCACCTTCACTAGTTGGATAAGCTAATGTTTCTCAAGAGGCCCAATGATACTTTTTACCATCTTTATTAATACACCAAAAGAAGTCAGCAATTACTCTTTTGATATACTTGAGAGTAGTTTTAGGGGGAGATACAACAACTAGAATATGGATAGGAATAGGCTGCAGCACATGTTTAACTAGAGTAACTTTACCTCCACAGTATAAAATCTTAGTTTGCCATCGAGAAATCTTTTGGATAATCTTCTCCACTACCTCAGAATAATATATATTTCTTTGACCCCTAATATATAATGTACACCCAAGATAAGTAATAGGAATATTTTTCATACCAAAACTAGTTTCTATCTTGATAGTCTCAATAATATCCTGCTTAGTCTTAGCAGTTACCATGAAAAAACTTTTATCTTTATTCACTTTTTGATAAGAAACCAGTTCATACTCTTCAATAGTTTTCATAATGAGCTGTAAAGATTTTCTATCAGTAGAAGTAAAAATAATAATATCATCAGCAAAACATAACTGATTGATTTGAGGCCCGTTACTGTCCATTTGAAAGCCTATATATGCCTGATTATGATATAACAAGTTAAGCTGTCTTGAGAATACTTCAGCACCTAAAATAAATAGTGCTGATGATAATGGATACCCTTATTTTAAACCTCTAGTAGAATGAAAGAAACCATGTCTTTTACCATTAATCACCACTGAATACCAGTTATTACTCATAATTCTCCAGACCCTATCAATAAAAAATTCTCCAAAACCCATTTTTCTTAATACCAAACATGTATAAGTTCAAGAAACTCTGTCATAAGCCTTAACCATGTCCAATTTGATGACCACATTCTTACCTTCTTTATGTAGTTTTATACCATGAATAACTTCCTGAGCCAACATAACATTCTCTGATATACTCCATCCTTTTACAAAACCAGACTGATAGTCTGAAACAATGAGGGGTAAAATAGGAGCCAATCTAGTACTCATAATCTTTGATATAATCTTATTAGTAAAATTACTTAGACTAATAGGTCTAAAATCCTTTAGCTTGTTAGATGATCAACATTAGGAAGAAGGATTACACAAGCATGAGTCATATATTTAGGCATATCATAACCATTAATAAAAGCTTGCACTGCAGCAAAGAGATCATCTTTAATAATATTAAAGCAAACTTGATAAAATATGCCTCCAATACCATCAGGTCTAGGAGTAGAATGAGGATTCATATTCATCACAACCTTTCTCAGTTCTTCCTCATTAGGCATTTTTTCCAATTCTGCATTATGTTCCTGAGTTACCATCTTTTGAATACAATGTAAATTATCCTCCATAATTCTCTTAGTTTTACAAGTGAAAATACCCTGATAATAATCACAGGTTTCTCTAGCAATATGTTCATCCCCTTGAATCCAACCACCATTCTCTGTCAATATTTTGTGAATAAACATTCTCTTCCTTTTTCCTCTAATAACAGCATGAAAGTATTTGGAGTTTGCATCACCTTCTTTTAACCAATGCAATTAAGTTTTTTGTTGAAGTATTGCATGCTCTAACTTCAAATATTTCGTGTAATGAGCATTAGCTGCATACAACTTCTTTCTGTTGTCCTTACTATTATCCATGATATAGTTTCCTTCAGCATTTTTAACACCCTCTTCATACTGTTTCACTTTTTTCAAAAACATATCCATATTCCTTTTTTGACCAAGCTCTTAATGTTTTAGTTAGTCTCCTCATCTTGGTATGCAAAATCCACATAGGGTTGCCAGCAACTTTCTTTTTCCAACAATTTTCAACTGTCTGTAAGAATGTTTCATTCTCAGTCCAACAATTGAGAAATTTAAAGTACTTAATCACATTTTCCCTATTCTCAATCATTTCTATCAATAAGGGGCAACGATCAGACCCCACAGAAGGAAGATGAGTAATGTTAGTATTAGGCATTCTTTCCAGCCACTTATCATTAACCAAACCTCTATCTAACCTTTTCCAATTTCTAACTCCATCCTTTCTATGATGACACCATGTATAAGGTTGACCACTATAACCCATATCCAACAATCCACAAGAATCAATATTGTCAATGAACTCTAAACTTTTATTTATATTGTATTCTCTACCTCCCAACTTATTTTGAGTAGAAGAAATCACATTAAAGTCTCCAATTATGCACCATGGGTATACAGTTGCAGACCATTTTAACATGCTATCCCAAAGAGGCCTCCTCAACTGATCCTTACACTTTGCATAAGCATAGGTCATAAGGAACTTCTCACTACAGTTCTCATGGCTGATTTCACAAGTAATATGTTGTTGATCATTTTCGAGAATATTACAGGTTACCTCATTTGACCAAAATAACCAAATTTTATTATTAGGATTACTATGCCCCTGATTCATCAGCATCTGCATTCGATAAAAATCTAGCTGAGAGTGGTTAGTAAAAGGTTCTAAAATAGAAATCATAGCAAAATTATGAATTTTCCTGAGGTTAATCACTCTTTCCAGAGCACCAAAAGTATTAATGCTCCTAGCATTCCAACAAAGCATTTTGATCATCATAAATCTCTACTCCTAGATCTAGTATTTGATTTACTAATGCTAGTATTTTTATTATGTTTCAACAGCTTTCTACCCCTTGGTGAAAGTCCTTGCTTGCCAGTAACATCTCTAATTTCATCCACATTAGAGTTATGCAACAAAGGACCTTTTTGAACTTGATAAGAAGTATCTGTTTCCTCCTCTGGTTCAATGCCCTACACTAAGGATTGAGTATCAGCATACTGATCCTCAGAGTCAGGTTCCTTATATTCATCATGATTATCTCTTTGATGACGAATAGGATCATTGCCAGTATTAGTAAAATTAGGATTACTATTCTTATTACTAATCTGTTGAGGGTTATTAAGATTGATTTTATCAGGGGTACTTTATCAATATTAATCAAGGACCCCTGTTCACCAATTTTACCTTTTCCTTTAGAATTTCTAGATTGACTAAATCTATTTTCCTCCTGACCACTTCCATCCTCACCTCCAACAGCTACTCCAACAGAATTATTATCAATATTAAGGGGTGTAAGGAGGGGGAGCATTGAGTCAATACCTGATCTGTTTATTGTCTCTTGTTGATATCCAGTTTGTTCATTCCTAGACACCTGTACTTCACTTCTTTGTTTTTTTATTTCTTTGCTCTCTATGCTCATTGATTCCTGCAGTATAGACATGGCTTTGGGATTGCCTATTTAAGGTAGCAATATTCTGAGGCCTATGTTCTTGTAATTGCTCTATATGTTCCTCTCCAAAAGTTGTAAATTCTTGCACTTCCAAATGTGAGGAAGTCATTCTTTAGTTAGGTCCACTAGAACCTTAACTCTATCAAGGCTTCCTCTGGTTTTGTTAATTGATGCTGAATCTAAATATAAAACTCTACCAATAGGAGATAATAGGCTAGTAATAAACTACTTATTATAGCAATGAAAAGGCAACTCTGGAAGAGATGTCCAAATAAGGACTAGAGGTGTTTCTTCATCATGCTTGAATGTAGGAGTCCAGGCCTCGATTCTCATAACTTGTCCAGCAATAATCATCCTTTGCTTGGTCCAAACCATATTGTAATCTAACTCATTGTCAATGTCTATGTGAACATACCTAGAATTAAAGTGTGCAATTTTAACATTCCCAAATAATTGAGTTTGGAGAATAATATTTTTCCTTATTAGCTCCACTCTTGGCATGGTGTAGATAAATTTCCCAATAAGAGAAAATTTACAAGTGGAAGCCAAGTCTTTAACCACTTCATCTTTAACATATAAAACTATAGGAAGGCCCTGTTTGGTAGTGATGTCAGGCTCTGTCAATTTGATACTCACACCCTTCTTAGACTAATTAAACCTTAATCTATCTGCATATGTTTGAATCACAGTGTATGGAGCAGGCACTTGT